CCAAGTTACCCCCAGCCAGGCCTCTGGCTCACTCACTGGCTATTCTTAAGAACCACCAGTCTATACTCATGTCTAATCTCAGGTTTCCATCCTGTTCAATGCATAGAACTAAGACCACTCTGTGAGGACTGGGGTCACTCTCTCTGAGCTGTTTCACCAGGGCCTGACAGTTCGGGTCTCCGGAGAGAGCCCCCAGACAGTCCTGTGGCCAGCGGGCTGGAATGCGCCTCTCTGGATGTTTCTTGGATGGTTATTTCTGCACTGGAGCTGTGGTCAGGAGAGGCCCTGCGCATTCCTGAAGAGGGACAATGAGTCTGTGCCAAACCCTGGAGTCTCGAGCAGAGATGAAGGGGTCCAGGAACAGGGCCCCGAGGTGGTCTCTGTGGAAAATGTCCATACAGTGGTGGGTGACAGTATTATCTCCTTCAGCTCAGTGCTGTCCCCTGAACACCATCCCCAAGCCTGGGTTTGTCTTAGGCTCCAGAGTGGACTTATGCCCCAGAAAAGGAAGCGTGGAGAGGGGAGGAAGTAAAAGCACTTCATGGGAGCTGGCTGAGGTCTGCTGGGTGACCAGGGTGGGGCTGAAGTCAGACAATCAAGATTCAGGTTGCCATTACCCTCTGGTTTAACTAGTTCAATTGAGGTGACCCACTGGTTCAACTGGCATGATGGAGGTACCTGGTGGTTCAGTTAGGGTCATAGGGGCATCCCATCCTGATCCCTGGTTAGGATCCAGGGGGAGAACACAGCTTGGGGTCTGTCACTTCTCTCCTCCAGTGCCCGCCAAATCAAGTCCACCTGCAAGAGTCCAGAACTCAGCCCCCTCTAAGACTGCTTCTCTACACCTCCCCCAGGGCACACGTATGATCCTAGCCTGTCTCATGCTCCTCCCTTACCCTGGAAATCTCTCACTGACAATCTTCACCTACTAGAGTTCTCATTCTTCATTTAAGCCTTCTTTAAGTACTACCTGCTCCAGGAAGCCTTCTCAGGTTCTTATTCTGAGTCTCCCCACTCGGATTTGAGCTTCTATGATGGCTCAGTGATAACAAAGCTGCCTGCCAATGCGGGAGATACAGGTTTGATCCCTGGACCAAGAAGAACCCCATATATAACCATTCAGCTTATGGTTTCAGAATTCCACTGGACCAAGGGCTCCTTGGGGAAGGACCTGGATCTAGTTTTCTATTCTCTTGTGCTGTGTACTTAGTAGCTCAGTCATGTCCGATGCTTTGAGATCCCATGGACTGTAGCCTGCCAGGCTCCTCAGTCCATGGAATTCTCCAGGCAAGAATATTGGAGTAGGTAGCCATTCCCTTCTCCAGGGGATCTTTCCTGATCCAGGGATCAAACCCAGGTCTCCTGCATTGCAGGTGGATTCTTTACTGTCTGAACCACCAGGGAAGCCCTTCTATTCTCTTATTGCCTGGTGTAGTGTCTGATGGAAGATCTCAGGAGATCTCAACAATTTTTAGTAAACTAAAAATGAAGTTTGGCAAACCTAAAATGAAGGCTAAAGTCAGTGCTATTTGGAAGGTGACCCAGAGGGTCTAGGAGTCCCTAGGACATGATGAGTCCCACTTTGGGTTCTTTAAGTCTCCAGGCTGCCCCTTTGAAGATCAAGAATCAAAACATCTCAGAGTTGGGAAGAACCTTAAAAGTCACTAACTGCAGGTCCCAGAGTGATAAATGGGAGGTATATGATGATCTTTCTGATGAGTCAACTTGGCTAAGGTTCTGAGCTTTTCAATCAAGTACTGACCCAGAGGTTGCTCTGAAGGCATTTTGTAGATGTGATTAAAGTCCATAATCAGTTGACTTAAGGGAGATTATCCTAGACTACTGGGTAGACCTGAATCAATCAGTTGAAATTCCATAAAAGGTGAGCCAATACTTTCCTGAAGAAGAAGAAACTGCCTGTGAACAGTAGCTTCAGCCCAAGCTGGGTGGAGTTCCAGCCTGTCCTTCCAATGTCCTGCTGTATGGATTTCACTTGCCTAGGCCGCCACTACCACTGCGTAATTCAATTTGCTTGCAATCCATCTCTTAATATATAATCCCTGTTGCTTGTGTTTCTCTTACTGATCCCTGACTGCTACAGGTGACCCTGAAGCTGCTTCTGGGGTGAATCATAGCCCTGCCCCAGCCTCAGAGGAGAGTCTACCAGCTCTGAGACCATTGACTCTGACATTCCAGGATCAGATTCCTAAGGATTTTTCCAGCCCTACACAACCTTGTTCTTAAAACCACAGTCCCTAACTCATGTCTATCCTCAGAAGTCAGGTCTCCAGGTTATTTAGATCCTTGCTGCTCAAAGCATAGACTGTGGGTCAAGAGCATCAGCAGTGCTTTGGGGGCCTTGTGAGAATTGTAGACTCTCAGTCCCACTCCAGACCTATTGGCTCAGAATCTGCATTTAAACAAGGTCAACCCAGTTATCGAAGAAGACCATTGGGGAAGTATTAACCCAGATTATTCAGAATTGCTGAGCGAACCTTCTCCAGTTCCCCCTGGGGAACAGTTGTTCTGTACAGATGGAGAGACTGAGGCCCACCAGGGTCATGCCTGTGTCTCCCATGAGTAGGAGGGTAGCGGGGAGAGAGAGAGAGGGAGAGAAGAATTTGTCTAGAGAGAGAGAAAGAACTTAGTTTCTAGCTCCCAGGCCAGGCTCCTGCCTTGTATTTCCCACATCCACACGCTCCCCTCATGAAGGCATCCTTGTGTGTCACTGGAGGAGGTGGGAGTGGGAAGCAGGGGTGGTAAGGAGCCACTCTGGTGAAGGGGAAGCTCAGGGTGTTGGCCCCGCTTGGTAGGAATCCCAAGGGGCATGGGCCAGCTCTGGAAATGGGACAGTGAAGGCGTGCCTGCAGCAGTAGCAGCATGTGGTGGCTCCAGGTGAGGGGCAGGCCTCCTGAGCCACCTGGGAGCTTCCTGAGTATGGGCAGTTTCTGGACAGTGGGGAAGTGTAGACAGACTGGGAGCTGGCCACATCAGCTGGGCCAGTGACAACTCTTTCAACAGCCACAAAAAGCATTTGTCATGTACTCTCTGAGGACCAGAGGCTAACAAGGGAGTCGGAAGGAGGCCCCAGGCAAGCAGGACAGGCCGGTTGGCAGCCTGCTTTGTTCTCTGTGAGCCTGGGAGGTGAAGAGGGGGTGAGCAACATGGAAAAGAAGTGTCAGGGAACAGGGCTCCCTTCTCCTCCAATCAGAAGTTTAGTTTCCACACTGTTAAATGAGAGAGCTAACATTCTGATTTCTCTCTTGGCTAAATGCTCAGTCCTGAGGTCATGATATCCTGAAGCTGAGGTCACAGCTGAATGCCCTGTGTGACCCTGGTACCCACCCTCCACCATTTGTGAGGTTCATACAGAGAGGAAGGCAGAGGCTCCATGGGGAACAGGCAGCTGCACAATTCCATGAAAAGATAGAGACCTGGGTGTGTAAGCCATGTTACTGTCATTTTATATTTGTACAATCCCGGGCCAATTTTTTAACCTCTCCAAGCTTTCCTTGACCATAATAGAAGGATAAGGCTTGTCCTAACAGGGTAGTTGTGGGGATGTAGGTGGTGAGAAATGCCTTGGAGAGTGCCTGACATGTTACAGAAACAGGTCAGCTCCTGCATCCAGGCGGGGATGGAGCGGGAGGGACCATCCCTGGGTCTCTGCTGAGGTTGCCTGAACCCAACACCATCTCAGTCAGAGCTGGGTCTCTTCCCTGGCTGCTGGTTGACAGCAGGGAAATCATTTTTACATTTTTTTTTATTACAAAATCAACTCACAGATTTACCGTTTGTGCTGCCAGATGAAAGCTGTTTATGGTGGTGATTTGCACTACATTCATCTGTGCTTGTTTATGTTTTCTTTGAAAATACTTATTGTGTGTATCCTGTCCACACTATGGCCAGGCATTTGTCTTCTATTTCTGTCCCATTCTTGCCCGCACGCCCTCCATGTCTGTGGCCTCCAATCAGGATGTGTGGGAACTGGACTGCAGGCAGGAGGATGATGGCCAGAAGGCCCTCTGATCAAATATACCCACTTTGTGGATGAAGAAACCAATGGCCAGAGGGGACCAGCAGCTGAGCTTAGTGGAACTGGAACTTTTGTCTCCTTGTTCCAGTCTAGGATGGGGTCTCCTCTTCACTCTCCCTGACTGGTTTGCTGCAGAGTCTGCCTGCTTATAGAAAGGAGCATGGCCCCTGAGCCTGGATATCAGGCAGACTCCAGGCATGAGCAAGGACCTGGGAAGCTGGGATAGGGGAGTGGGATTAGGAAGATGAAGGGAAGGATGTGGCAGGCTCTGGTCCCCAGTCCCACTGTCCCCACTTGTTAGGAAGAAGTAGGGGTAGCTGTGGTCATAGTAATCCTTAGGAAACAGAGCCGTTCCCTTCTGTAGGAAAGGGGATAATATACGAGCAGTTATATTAATAACACTTATAACTGTAGATACTGTTTATTAAGTATATGGGCTCTTCCTTTACATTAGCCCATTTAATCCTAGGAGGCAGATATTATTCTCCTGTTTTGTAAATGACAAAACAAGTTCAGAGAGACCAAGTAACTTGTCCAAAGTCACGCAGTTAGTAGCAGGCGGTGGAGGTGGTAAGTGGGGATGGGGGTTGAGAGATGAATCCAGGCACCCAGGCTTCTAAGACAGCATCCATGTTCCTACACCACCCCTCAGGAAAGGCTTTGCAATCGAAGCGGGGCGGGGTGTGGGGCGGGTGGTCCACGGGCAGGGAGGACGGACAGTGGACTGACAGTGGACAGCAGAACTGTTTCAGGCTGAGCTAGCCCTCCATCCCCATGGTAAGTCAAGAGAGGTTGGGAATAGCCAAGTGAGAAACAGACAGAATGATGCAGGGGCTCATGAGGAAAACAGGCTGAGGTGATACAGAGATCTTTAGTCTGGGCATCCAAAGTGTTGTATCTGCAACTTGCTATGTGAATTTGGGCAAGTCACTCACCTCTGTGGGTGTTTGGATGACTGCTAAAGTCTCCTTTCACACTTTTATTGAGGACTCTGGGATTTTAGAGGGTAGTAGGTCACCTCTGTATTTTCTTCCTTCTTGGATAGGTGTAAGAAGTACAGGTTCCCTCATGAGCCCCCTGCTTGAATTCACAATCTAAGGATTCCCAGGCCATGTGGTGAGCCTTGGGAGCCTGTGTCCTGCTGAGAACAGGTTGGAAGCTGGGGAGAAAGGAGAACAGGTTTTCCATCCCACCTTTACTAGCTAATCAATCACCTGGTCTCTTGTTGTCTTAGAGCCACAAGGATTCCAGTTACCTGCAGTGGGAGAACGGGTGCCTGTGAGCCCATGGCAGCCTCCAGGAGGGCCTGTACACACAGCTGTAGCATGTGGTCTAGGTTGGTCAGGGATTCTGGTGACTGGGAGCAGAAGTTGGCTGTAGCATACTGGAGCAAGAGGCCCTCTCCTTCTGGGGAGATTTTGCCAGGGGAAAGAGACAAATCTTGGCTACTTAGCATCCCCAAGATACAAGGTCTGGGCTTGGTTCTTGAAACAGAGAAACAATTGGCAAAAAATCCAAGGGCATGGGAATCAGAAAGGCTCCACTAAACTCATACATTCAAGTCACAAGGCCATGGTGAGTCACTGACACTCAGAGCCTTAGGCTCCTTTGCTGAGAAATGGGGATAATAATGCTCATCCTGAAGGGCTGGTGAAAGAATTGAATGAGGGACTGCAAATGAAATGTATGTGTGTTAGTTGCTCAGTCGTGTCTTTGCGACCCCATGGACTGCAGCCCACCAGGCTCCTCTGTCCATGGGATTTTCCAGGCAAGAATACTGGGGTGGGTTGCCATTTCCTTCTCCAGTGAAATGTATACAGCTTGCCAAAGAAGAGTTATTAAGTGGTGGCTGCCATTGTTAATGTTGCTGTTGCTGCTGTTAATAATGATAAATAAATAAATAAAGAGGCAGAGTGAGGCTTCCCAGATGGTGCTGCTAGTGGTAAAAGAACCCATCTGCCAATCCAGGAGACACAAGGGATATGGGTTTGATCCACAGGTGGGGAAGATCCCCTGGAGGAGGGCATGGCAACCCACTCTGGTATTCTTGTTTGGAGAATCCCATGGACAGGGGAGCCTGATGGGCTACAGTCCATAGGGTCACAAAGAGTTGGACACGACTGAAGCTTGCCAAAGAGTAGTTAATAAGTGGTGGCTGCCATTATTATTGTTGCTGTTGCTGCTATAAATAATAATAATAATATTGATAAAGAAGCAGTCTGCGCAAGTGGGAGGAGTGGGGGCCTGGGAGTTAGTTTTGGCTACCCCACTCCCATCACCTCTTTGGTTTCTTCTGACTAAGAAAAGGGGGTGGCACCAGCTGATCTCAAGGCCCCTTTCTGCTCTGACAGCCTCTGGGCTATGAATAGATGAGGCTGGGGACCCGGAGGAGTCTAATGACTCAACAGTTAGAGAGGTTAAGCTTTCCCAGAAAAGTGTTTCCGTTTGCATTTGATGAACTTAGGGCCCAACAAAGGAAGGGTTTCCTGTCTGGGAGACTAGGGATGAAGGAGCTGGAGGAATCCTTGCAGTCAGAGGAGACTGTGACTAACCAGGTGAATGACTAACTCAGACCCTGCTGACCTTCAACCAATCAGGGCTGCTCATGACCACCCTACGAGCTGGCATCACTAAGCACGTCTTGGCCATGCCAGTCCCAGCTGGCTCTGGGTTTCACGGCATATGGAGGCAGAGAAAGCAGCCAAGAAACTGGCAGGGGAAGGAACACTGGGCTTCGAGTCAGAAGTCCCAGCTTCTTGCTCTAACTCCACTGCTCACCAGCTGCGTGACTTTGGGGAAGTCCTTTCTCCTTCCTGAGCCTCCATGCCTTCATCTGCACAAGGGAGCTAACAATACCTGACCTGGCAACTTCTCTGAGCTATGAAGGCTGAGACTTAAGAGATGAGATGAAAGCACATTGTGAACACTAAGGCAATGAATGAATGGGAAATTTTGTCCTCATTCTATCCCAGTAGGATTCCTGGTCCCCCAGGAGACCTATTTGGGTCCCCAAAGCAGTCAAGTGGACACAGACCGAGCCTTTGGGTGTTGAGTCAAGATCAGTCTAATGTAGGGTCCTTTCCAACCATCCAACCACAGCCCAGAGAGAATTTTCTTAGACCTGAGCCCATATGGACAGCTTCCAGCCAGGTGGCATAGCCAGAGTGAGAGGTGACAAAAAGCCAGGAATGGTTGGGTGGGGCAGAGTGGGCAGTGACAGTCTGGGGCCCCCACAGAATTAAGGTTGTGCTTTGATGCTCTCTCCTCTTGCCAAGCACCTTATAAATAAATAATCACCACAACCACACTGTCTGCCTCTGCCCCCAGCTTTTAGCTTCTTTCTTGGTGAGGACTACAAGCACTTTGGGGAATGGCAGGAATGGGAGAGGAGGAAGGATGACGCCCTCTCATGTCTGTACACCTTAAACCCATCAATAGCGTTCTGTGAGTGCTCCTGTGTATTACTGGGTACTGTGCTGGCACTAGGAGCAAAGAGATGGGAGCCACAGGGCCCTACCAACATGGAGGTTAATTACACCTCCTGTGGTTAAAGATACAAATACTCCTCCTGAGATGTAAATAGCCATGCAAAGCAGCCTACACTGTGTCACTCAGGTCTTCCTGACAGCAAGTCCTGCGGTCGTCTAGAGCAGTGGCCTGGGATCATCTGGAAGACTTCAAGGAAGAGGTGGGGTTTGAACTGAACCTAGAATGTTAGCTTAGACAAGATAAATAGAAGACAGAGAAAAATGACAACCATACAGGCATACTTCAGGTATTCTCAGGGGACAGTTGGGCTGCAGTGAAGAGATCATGTCAGTAAGAAGTGAGAAATTAAGTTGGACATAGGAATTGGAGTCAGGCATGAGGTCCTTAAAATTTGGGATAAGGAGCATGGGGTTATGGATTGCAGGGGAAGCAGTAGCCCATTGAGGGCTTCTGAGAAGGGAATCAGTATGGTCAGAGCTGTGCTTTGGGGAAATTCTTTCCGGTAGCATTGTCTTTGTGAGCTTGCCCTGAGGGAGAATGAGGTTGGAGGTAAGGAGGTTAGTGGGAAGTTACTGTGGGGCTGGGGACCAGGGTACTGAGAAAGATGGAGGCATACACCAAGGGTGAGAAATGTGGAGAGAGAACGGGGTCCTTTAAGGATGTTCAATGCTCCTGAAACCCTGGCAGGTAACCGGGAGTGGAGAGGGGAAGAAACCCCAAACCAAACCCAGTCGGGTCCTTCCCAGGAAAGCAGGCTCTTCTTTGGGCAGACCGGAGTCTGACCAACCTGCCCCCAATTCCCAGCATCAGCAGGACGCAGAAGTGCCCCCACTTGGGCCATATCCCCTCCTGGGATCCTTTCCTTCATCTTCCAGAAACCATGTAGCACAGCTCCCTGTGGTCTCCAGACAGCAGCAGAATCTCAGGGCAATCCTGCAGTGGACAAACTGCAGGCACAGCATCCAGTATTGCTTTTTACCCCTCTTCACTCCTGTTGACTCCCAGGAAAACACTGCCATCTTGTTACGGGCTATGCCAAATGGCAATGAGCCCCTGGGAGCCCAGCCAAGGTTAGGAGGGGGACCAGGGAGAGAAGCAGGAATGGGAAAGACAGAGGAAACAGCTCCTGGAAGCATCCCAGTGAGCTCTGGGGGAAGGTGGGCTGGGTGGAGCCCTTGAGATCACTTCAGCCAACCTCTCTGTTGTCTGGAGGTGAACTTGAGACTCAGGCAGGGGAAGGGACCTGCCCAAGGTCATACAGTGGGAAAAGTGATAGAGCTGAGCTGGAATTGTAGTTTTGGTGGTGGACACGGTGTTCAGTCCTGTTTGAACACTTGAACAGCACATCAAGGGCCTCACTGGAGATTCTTTCCTGGATACCCACTGTGTGCTTGTGTATGTACCTGTGTATGCACCTATGCCTATATTGTGAGAGAGTCTGAGTGTGTGTGGCCTCTTACACCATGCTCTGCCCTGGCTGGAAGAAGAGAAATGGGGCCATTCCTATGAGGTGACTGTTTTCCTGGGACAGCAGTAAAGAAGGCAGACAGGGCTGGATCTGGCTTCCAGCACCAGTTCTGTTGCCTTAAGAAAATTAAAGGAACTGGCTGGCAAAGCCTAAACTCCTGGAGCTGGGCACACACACGCGTGGACACACACACACACACACACACACACTCACACACACACACACTCACACCCCAAGCAGTACTCACAGCCACAGTTATGGAGTATTTCAGACACCGGAGCGGCCCGCTGTGCCTCGGAGTGCCAAGTATCTGCACACACACACGTCTCTCTAGAGCCCCAGCCGGTGTGGACACACTGGGGTCCGAGAGTCCATGTACAGAAACACGGTGGAGCCCTGCGCTCCCCACCACTCACACTCGGCGCCCTGCTCCAGGGCCCGACCCGGCCACACCCCTCCTCCTCAGCCTTCGCCGGCCGTTCCTGCCCCTCTCACACACTTCAGAGTCCCCTGGGGCCCTCTCGCAGCCTGGCAGGGACAAGTTAGGGCTGGCCCTGACGGAGAGTCAAGTCCGGAGCCAGGATTCGACGCCTCCCCCGAGCCCTGTCCCCGCGGAGCAGACACGCCAGGCTGAACTCGGGTTTCTGAGAGCGCGGGGTTCTGCTCCTAGACCCTCTCTGGGGGGAATCCCCCACCCCCAGTCTGCTCCGGACTCCCCCAGAACCTGGCGCCCAGCCCCCTGGTCCCCGCCCCCCGCCGGGCGAGTAGTTACCGATGGTGGTGATGACGGTGATGGCGAAGTAGAAGGAGCCGGCGAAGCGCCACTGCACGCCGGCCTTGTGCGGCTTGAGGCGCAGCACTACGCGCTCGAGCTCCTCGTAGCCGCCCTGGCTGAGGTTGTAGCGCGCTCGCAGCTCCTGCTGCCGCAGCTCCAGCCGCTGCCGCTCGATCATCTCCGGCTCCGACTCCAGGGCGTCGAAGACGGCGGCGCCCACCAGCAGGTAGGTGAAGGTGCACACGATGAGCGCCAGCGTGCGCACGTTCTGCCGCTTCATCGTCCCGCCCGGGCCGCCGCCGGCCCCCCTGGAGGGGGAGGGGAGGGGGAGCGAGCGGGAGAGCCGCGGAGAGACCCGGCAGGACAGAGAGAGAGAGCGCGCGGGCGAGAGGGAAGAGACCCAGAGAAAGATAAGTAGACAGACAAACGCATATAACTACAGAGGAAGAGAGAGAGGAAAAAGAGGCGGAAGGGGGTGTGACGGACAAGCAGATAAAACAAGAGGGAGACTCACAGACACAGAAAAAGAGGAGGCAGGCAGAAAAATACAGACTGAGAGAGGTACAGAGGGAAAGATGGAAACGGAAAGAGCGACAAATGGGAGACAGAGACCTGGACAGCTGGAGAGACACTGATGCCACAGAAAAGGAAAAGCGAGGGAAGCGGAAAGGAATCGGGTAGATCAAGCCCCGACCCCACCCCAGTCCCATCCCTCCACCAAAGTCACAACAGGGAATAGCTGGACTGGACCCTGGGCCTTTCGGTGCTGCCCTCCATTATGTGGATGAGGAAACAGAGAGGTCCAGTGACGTGCGAGGGCACACGGTGAGTTGGCGTCAGCACTAGGACTCAGCCAAGCTTTCCCGCCTCCCAGGCCACAGGCCCTCCCCTGTGCCAAGCTGCTGGCTGTCTTAGAAACAGGAGGGCACAGCTGTGGACCAGGGCACGCATGGGCCAACCCCCAAGGGAAAGCCCTGCTCTCGTGAAATGTGTCCCTTCCCGGGTCAGCACAGCGCCTGGAACTGGATGAGGAAGCACAGGCTGGTAGCCTGGGACAGTGGCACCCAGTCCCAGGTGCCCTGTTCCATTCCCCAGGGGCCATCAGGGACAGGCTTGACATCTAAGGCCTCTGTCCTGCACCAGCTGACCAGGCTGGGCTCGGGCTGGGCTGCTAGGGATGGCACTGGATACCACCATGGGGCATCACCACAGAACTGGGATCTAGCTGGAATAGGACAGGTGGAGGTCCAGAGTAGAAGGCTCCCTGACCACCTGGAGGAGGAGTCGGGAGACCTCCTCCTTATGCCTTAAAGTCTTCATTTGTCAACATGGTGCAGTGGCGGTGAAGAGCGCAGGCTGTGGGACCCAGGCAAGGCGTCGCTGCCCCTCTCAGAGTCTCGCTTCCTTATCTCCTCGATGAGGTGTCACAGCAGATGATCCCAAGCCTGCTTAGCTCCAGACAACTCCAGACTTGGATGGGCTGAGTGAGCAGAATGATTGGAATGCGAATTCCGCTGCCAAGAAGGGTCAGAAAGTCTTTCACAGGACCCTGGCATGGGCCACGAGAAGAGACATGGGAGAGGCCCCAGGGCCCCTGACTGAGGGTGGACTCAGGAGGCAGCCAGCCAGAAGCGGGGGAGTACCATCAACCCACATCCTGGGCTGACTGTCACTGTGGGTCACTCACTACACTGCTTCTCCCAGGAGGGCCACCAACCTATCCCTTCCTTCCTCTGCTCATTCAACAAGTATGTATCAAGCATCTGCTGTGTATCAGATGAAGCTTGTTACATTCACTATCTCTAGTTTTTACCACAAATCCTGAAAGGAAGGAATAGTTATGTCCATTTTATAGATGAGGAAACTGAGGCCAAAGGCAGTGCAGAGAATCCCCCAAGGGCATGCAGCTGGGAAGAGCCTTCTTTCTGCCTCCCAAGCCCATGTTCTTCTCCATAACTCTTCAAGCCTCATTTTTCCCCCCCACTTTAAATGGGATAGCTACTTATACTAGCTCTTGAACAGATTGTTGTAAAGGATCAAAGAGGCTGGCATTCATGCAAATCAGACAGTATGAGGCTGTATAACTTCTCCCCAAAGACTCAGGTCTCTGACCAGAGCCTGGTAGGAGGGCCCTGTTGACTGGACTTTGTCCCCTCCTCCTCCCCTCAAAGTTCTTTGGGTTGTATCAGGTTCTTTGATCTGCCACAAACTTTCTGGTACTGCCCCTTTGGCCCTGGACTCATTCTATTGCAGATTTTCCCTCTTGGCATCTTCTGGCTCTTTGGAAGAAAAGCACTGCCTTTCCTGGCTTCCCAGGGGTGGAGGCACAAGTTAGGTTCTACCTAACTAACTACCCCAGAAGCCAGTTCCCCCTAAGCCAGTCTAGAGGAGCAAGTGGTTCACCAGGTCTGGTTTTCAGTGTGAAAGGCTACGTGTCCAGGGTCTGTTCACCTCTGGCTGCCAGGCTAGACTGCTGTGCAGATGAAAGGTGATATTATAGGGGAAGAGCTTTGGAAAAGGGAAAAAGCTCTCTTTAGGGGCAAGGCATTTATTATTAATTATGATGAAACTTGTTCTCACAGTACTTCAGAACCAGAAAGACCTTTAGAGATCATCTAGCCCAACCTTCTTATGTTACAGATGAGGAAACTGAGGTTACATAGTGAGTATGGGGTCCAGGACTCCTGTGCCATGGCTGGGGTTTTTCCCACTATCCCCCATTATGCTTGGTATAGGACCCCTGCCAATAGAGGAGCCCAGTGACCCTGGCAGCCTAGGTCTCCTCCTCCTGCCCTTCTTCCCTTCCCTCTTTTAAGGAGAGGGATCCAGTTGAGGTTTCTGAGTAACCTCCCAGGACCTACAGGCAGGAGTCCCATCAGCCAGCCCTCGACCTGGGTGTGATTGGGCCTAAGGCCTCCATGCCCATCCAGTTCCCTTCTGTCCAGGACTCCCAGACTGATCTGCCTGTACCTGCAACCCCCTGACGAGTTTGTGCCACCCTCTGCCGAAGGCCAAGTGTCAGAAAGCACCTCTGTCAATCCAGTCTGTTGCAAAGGATAAAAACCGCTCAGCTATGATTTATCCACTTTCTTGCATTTTTTTTCCCAATCCATTGGTGACTCCGGTGGAGGAGTCTTTGGGCCAGCAAGAGAGATTTTTTTTATATCCTTTAAATTTATACTGGTCAGTCTTCTGTACAAGGATTTTCTGCAATCCTGTCCAGTACAGAGAACACAGGGTAGAGAGCTGAGAGACCTGGGCTGGGGTCCTGGCTCTGCCACCTGCTTACTTGTGGGCCCGCCACTCTTCCCAGGGTGTCTATTTGCACAGCCATAAATGGAGGGGTTTGGATCAGGGCATGTCTGTTCTCTTCATTTATAACATCCCATGACCTTCCTGGCCTGCTTCTGCTTCCCTAGTTCTTCCAAGAATCAGATGAAAAGAGGGTATAGCCACTGTTTTTAAGACTTTACTTTGTGAGGAAAAGGACAGTCAGAGTTAGGATGAATGGTACAAAATTTAGTTATCATTAGTTGCTGCGTATTATTATATACTAAACATCACACACATACTATTTTCCTTTTTTTAAAAAATTGGGTTATATTTGATTTATAATGTGACAGCTTGCAGGTTTTCACAGCAAAGTGAATCAGTAATACATATTACATATAACCATCTCTTTTAGATTCTTTTCTGTTATAGGCCCTTACAAAGTATTGAGTAGAGTTCCTTGTGCTTATTTTCCAGGTTTATATTCTACACCATTCCTAAGCTCTAGGCACATCCAAGGATGTTTTTCTTTTTTTAAAAAGGGAGCGTCACCATATTATTTTTTAAAGTATAGCATTTATTTATATTTTGGCTGTGTTGTGTCTTAGCTGCAGCACACAGGCTCTTCATTGTGGTGTACAGGTTTCTCTCTAGTTGAGGTGTTCAGGCTCAATCATTGCAGTGTGTGGGTATAGTTGCCCCACAGCATGTGGGACTTAAGGTCCCCAGCCAGGGATCAAATCTGCATCCCCTGCATTGGAAGGCAGATCCTTAACCACTGGACCACCAGAGAGGTCCTCCATTTCCAAGTACTTACATGCTTCGCTCTTGGTTCACGTGGCTCCGATCAGCTGGGATGCTGGTACCTCCTCATCCCCTCTATTTCCTATCTGTTGAACTCCTATTCAGGTTTCATGACCCACCTCAAAGGCCTTACCCTTGACCAAACATTCCCCAGTTGCCTCCAATCAGAACCACTAGCTCCTGTGTGCTTTCACAGGACCCTATGTAAGCTTCAACTCAGTAGACTTTGTCTTCATCCCTGGCTCATTATCTTCTTGTACTCACACTACAACTCCCAGAATGGGAGCACCGTGCTTTGCACATCAGAGTCTCCCACATGTGGAATCAGTACGAAGTGACGGGCTTAAAGCATCCTTGCCTGCTGGGATAGAGACTGGCAGTGAGGCCAGGGACACAGACTGCAGAGTCTATGGGCAGAAAAGCCTGGGCAATCTGCTTCTGTGACTCTTTCCGGACTGATATTTCAAAGGCTGGAGCGAGCCCTGCCTGGCTTAGAGGAAGAGGATAAAGATAAATTTGAGAGTCTGAAGGCCCCAGGAAGCATGTGGGGAGGGGGCTGAACTGGGAACCCAGGTCCAGGAGCTTGGTCCCAGTGATGCCACCTACTACCAACTAGCCAGCAGACCCGAGAGTCATGTTGTCTTTCTGTGCCTCAGTTTTCTTTTCTATAGGATGAAAGTGTTGACTATATTGAGAAGTCTCTTCCCACTCTGACCTTCTATGACACTAATGACAGGTCAAGCCCTGTGATCAGCAATGCTCATTCTAAAAGGTAGAGAAGGAAATGGCAACCCCCTCTAGTATTCTTGCCTGGAGAGTTCTATGGACAGAGGAGCCTGGTAGGCTACAGCCCATGGGGTCGTAAAGATCTGGACAGGACTTAGCGACTAACACTTTCACTTTCAAAGGGTTGGGGATGTGGTCTGAAGGATGAGGGGCCCAGAGCCCTCTCTGTCTTTCACTTTCCAGACCCTCTTCATCGACCAGTTTGGCTGGAGGACTGGGCAGGGGGTGGTGAGGAAGAGGGAGAAGGGGCAGACCTCTAGTCAGACAAACTGGGGTTCAAATCCTGGTGCTATCAATTACTACCTGGACCAGAGCCTGCCATGAAATTCTGGCTGGACCAGGCCTAAGCTCTGCAGGGCAGGGATTGATTGGCCTTAGTCATTTCCAAGCTTCACAGTGCTTGGTACAGCCCCTGGCACAGACGACGCTCTGGAAACACTCCTCTAGCCGTCCCAGTAGCCCTGGCGGGGCTGGGTGGGTTGGTAGGGCCTGGAGTTCATGGTCCACTATAGGAAGGGGTGTCCAGAGCCATCTCAACATCAAGCTGGGGCGGGAGGGTGGGGGAGTGGCGCTGAGAAGGGAGAGGAGGGGCCCTGGGGACCCAGGAGCAGCGGGAGGTGGCTGACATGGAGAGTTGCCTCAGGGATCCTGGCCCCCTGAGGGCGGGTTGATGGGATTCAGGGCACCCAGGGTAGGACCGAGGTGTTTCTTGGTGTGCCTTTGTAGGGAGAGACATGAAGGATTAGTCTGGATTTACAGAGCATTACCAGTCCCAGTGCAGCCGGCTTGCGTTTGTCAAGAAACACTATTTGTTTAACATCTCAAGCCCAAACCAAACACAAAAGGCAGCTGCTCACAGAGAGGCTCTGGGCACTGTTAGGGGAGAGGGCTACCCCTGGAGGTGGGCACCCGGCTCTGTTCTCAGTCCTGCCCCAGCGGGCTTGGTGGCCAGCTCAGACATTGAGCCGGGTGTCCTGCTTGTAGAGAACCAGCCAGTCTTCATGCAGTTGCTGCGGGGACGGGTTTGCTCCCTCAGTTAGCAGAAAGTCTCAGTCCAAAGTCGACATCCACGCACTGGACAGATCCCAGTCTTCTTGGTGGTCTCCCTCTTTTACTCTGACTATTGCGCGGAGACAAACATCCTCCTATGTGTCCTTAGGGAATTTCCACTGGGACGCATACCTAGAAGTGTCACAGTGCTTGTGCCCACTGCATGGCCCTAAACACCACCGAGCTGTCCTCTGTGTGGCTGTCTTGGTTTTCACCCTCCCCAGCAGTGCATGAGTTGGCCTGCTTGGTCCTCACCGATGCCAGTATGATTCACTTTTCTGTTTTTGCCGCTTGTATGTTTCACTCTTTTATTTTTTAAACTAATTTCCCCCTTTCTCTCCCTTTCCCTTCTCCTTTTAACATCTCACCTCCCCTACATTCCTGGGGTCTTAGGCAGGCCAGCAGGTGATGAGACAGTGTGATCTGGGAGAAAACCAGCTTCTGTTCTCCAGCCTGGTGTGTGTGTGTGTGTGTGTGTGTGTGTGTGTGTGTGTGTGTGTGTGTGTGTAAAGGAGGCTGTGAGCCTGAGACTTTCAATTTCAGGCCTGGTCTCCTTTTCCCTCCTTCTAATATTTGCCAGCCCTTGTCATTTTCCCCTCCACTCTCATTCTCCTCTGTGTTTGGCCAAGTCTCATAAAATAATTCAAACAAGAGGAAACCTTAGCCTGGACAGTGGGATAAGGAAACTGAGGCCTGGCAAGGGGAGTCTGCACCTCCAGGCCTCACAGCTTGCCGGGCCAGGGCCGGGACTCAAGCCCAACGATCCTGACCTGCAAGCCTTCAGCTGCAAGGTAAGTGCCCTAGACTCTCTCCCTTCCCATCGTTAGAATCAAGTCCCCTAAGCCTGTCCTCAGTAGAGATTCTGGAGTGGCCATGACCTGTATCCTCTGACAAACCTGAATTCTCTCTTGCTGCTAAGGAAGAAAGTGAGCCCAGAGATCTAGTCAACAGCCTCACAAATCTTAAAATCCTCTTCTGCAGGTTTATGGCTTCTGAGAAGCAAGCAGAGGCAGCCTGTTCTCAGCACCAAACATAATAATTATAACAGCACTTGCAATGATTAATCAACCAGTGACTACTGAGTGGAGTCCGTGAGCATGCACGGCAGTGTGTGTGTGTCTGTGTGTGTGTCCATCCAGGTGGGGGAGAGGGCGATGGAGGTGACTGTTTCCAGTGAGCAGGTTTTAGATGTCCTTCCCTCAGTGGAGGGGCTGGGTCGCCAATTTGGCACTCCTTGGGTAGAGAGTCATGATCCACCTGGGGCTGCAGCTGTTTCTCCTGGGAGAGGAGTCCCATTTCCCATGGTCTTGACTCAGCTGGGCTGAGCTGGGCTCCTCACCATACTGGGAGAAAGGAACTGATGACCAGAAGCAGGTTCCAGACCGGTCAGCCAGATTAACTAGAGGCTTTACCTGCATGATGTATAGAGCAAAACCAAGGAACTTGGGATGTTCAGCCTGGAAGAAAGATGCAGAGGACATGTGAGCTGTCACATGGAGGAGGAATTAGCTTTGTTCTGGCTGGCCTAGGAGGGGCCAGTGACCTTTGTGGAAATGCTCCAGTGAAAGAGAGTTTGGCTCAAAATAGATGGGACATTCTCTATGTCTCTGCAGAAGCAATGGGCTGCCCAGATGTAATGAGCTCCTGGTCAATGAAAGTATGCAGGCATGGTCTGATTTATCCTTTGGGTTCAGACTTTTTTTTTTTTAATCTTTTTTTCCTTCCAGTTTTTTGAGATATAATTGACATATACCACTATGTAAGTGTGAGTTGTACACCATAATGATTTGATTTACACACATCACAAAATGATTACCACATTAAGTGTAGTGACATTCATCATCTCATGTAGATACAAAATAAAAGAAAAAAATTATTTTCCTTGTGATGAGAACTCTTGGGATTTACTCTCTTAACAACTTTCATATATAACATATAGCAGTGTCCATTGTTTATCATGTTGCATACTGTATCCTGGTACTTATTTATCTTGTAACTGAGAGTTTGTACCATTTGACTACCTTCATCTGATACCTCCTCCCTCCACCCCCTGCCTCTGGTAGTCACAAATCTGATCTCTTTTTCTATGACTTCGTTTGTGAAGTATAATTGACCTGCGACACTATGTTAGTTACTGGTGTACAACACAGTGATTTTTCTATGCATTACAAAATGATCATCACAATAAGTCTAGTTACCATCTGTCACCAGACAAAGATATTACATTATTATGACTATGTTCCACACACTGTACATTTCATACCCATGACTCACTTATTTTGTAACTGGAAGGACGTACCTCTTAATCTTCCTCACCTATTTGGGTTTGAGACTATTTCAGAAGACTCCAAGGAGCTAGTACAGTGCCTGGCTCATGGTAGGTCTGCAAGAGATACTTTGTGACCTGATTGCTAACAGTAGTGAGTTTGGGGGCTAGACTAGATGCACTTCGTAGTTCATTCATGGAACATTTCCTCTGTGCCAGGCCCTTTGACACTCCTGGAAATGCTACAATTCCCTGGCCCAGGAAGGGTTGGACCTGGGGTTCTTGTTGAGTCTTCACAGCACTGCTTTCTCTCAGCTCCCCTGCCCATCCCCCTGCCTAAGGCCCCTACACGTATACCTACATCATGCAGAGGCCCAACACTTACAGGTAGGAGTAAGGGCCTAGAGGCCCTAGGGCTCCAGCAAGGGAAATGAGCCTCTGGCAGGCTAATTACTGGGAGCTGATTCTATTAAGCAGATAGCTCGCTCTAGGCAAAGCAATTACATCTAATCAGCCCCTTGCAGCAGTCCAAAGGGACAGCCATTTGAGCCAGACACACGCGTGAGTAGGAACATCAAAGCAGCCTGAGGCTCAGGCCTGGGCGGGTTTGTCTTAGGCCAAGGGCTGCTCAGAAAGTGGTCCCCTGATCCCTTCCGGGGGCTGCCCAGATCTCAGGCTGCTATGTTGCTATAGCTCCACGAAGCAGCCCTGAATGGAGACTCAATGATCCATACTAAGACTTGGCTCTGTCACCAAGGAACTGAATTTCATTGGGGGGTTTCCTTCTCTGCCCTGAGACTCAGTTTCCTTATCTGTCATATGAGAGGGATAGACCAGGAAGGATCTAGTCCAAGTCTGAAACTGGAGTCCATCTCGATATTGTTCTGTATATTTAGAAATGTCTAAGAGGGAAGATCTAACATTGTGTTCTTACAAAAATAATAATAAAAGAATAAAGAGGCAGGAGGAAACCTTTGGAGGTGATGGATATGTTTATAACATAGATTGTCTTGATGGTTTCATAGATGCATATATCCTTATCTCCAAATGCAACAAGTTGTATACATTAAATATGTATAGCTTTTGGGTATGTCAATCATATCTCAATGAAGTGGTTTTAACTAAAAAATAACCCGAAGATGTTAGTCTATCTAGTCTACCTGGTTTGGATTCTAGTCCAGGCTAAAATGAGTTGACCACTAGAAGAGAATTTTTAAAATCCTCAAACATGGAAATATATGCTGCAGGGTCTAATATTCAGGCTACTTTTCTTAAAAGCTGAAATAATGTATTTTTTAAATACATTAAAAATGCCTTCCTGGAATTTTTTGCCTCTAGAAATTCAATGAAATATGTGTACCCTAAAAACCAGACAAGACTTTTTTGACAGTGAACCTGGCTTCCAGATTCTTTAAGGAAGCTGGGTCATGTTAGTGGGGAAGGGGAGAAGGGGTCCCTGGAAGTGAGGGGGTGATAAACAAGATGGAGACAGGAGGGTCCCTGAGCTATGACAGTGTCTGTTCTACTTGTGCTGTGTCCTTTCCCAGAGGAAGAACTCCCTGCAAGATACCTGGATGCTGTCAGAATGCTGAGGGGGAATTTGTGTGTTTTTTTTAATGTATTTTAAAAATTGTTTTGATTTTGTATTGGTGCATAGTTGATTATGCCAGGCTTCCCTGGTGGATCAGATGGTAAAGAATCCGCCTGCAGTGTGGGAAACCTGGGTTCAATCCCTGGGTTGGGAAAATGCCCTGGAGGAGGGCATGGAAACCCACCCCAGTATTCTTGCCTGGAGAATCCCCATGGATAGAGGAGCCTGGTGGGCTACAGTCCATGCAGTCGCACAGAGTTGGACATGACTGAGCAACTAAGCACAGCACAGCACATAGTTGACTAACGATGTGTTAGTTTCAGGTACAACAAAGTGATTCAGTTACACATATACATGAATCCATTCTTTTTCAAATTATTTTCCCATTTAGGTGATTACAGAATATTGAGCTGAATTTCCTGTGCTATACAGTAGATCCTTGTTGGTTATTGCATATGCCAATCCCAAACTCCCAATTTATCCCTCCCCTTGATCCTTCCCCTTTGGTAACCATAAATTTGTTTTCTAAGTCCATATCTGTTTCTGTTTTGTAAGTAAGTTCACTTGTATAACTTTTTTTTTTGGGATTCCACATATAAGTGATATCATATGATATTTGTATTTCTCTGTCTGACTTATTTCACTTAGTATGATAATCTCCATATCCACCCATATCACTGCAAATGGCATTATTTCATTCTTTTTAATGGCTGAGTAATATTCCATTGTGTATATAAATCACATCTTCTTGTCCATTCATCTGTCAATAGACAGTTAAGTTGTTTCCATGACTTGGCTATTGTGAATAGTGCTGCTATGAACAGAGGGGTGCTTCTATCTTTTTGAACCATGTTTTTCTCTGGATATATGCCCAGGAGTGGAATTGCTGTATCATATGGTTCCTATATTTTTGGTTTTTAAAGGAATCACCATACTGTTCTCCATACTGGCTATACCAATTTACATTCCTACCAACAGTGTAGAAGGGTTCCCTTTTCTCCACACTCTCTCCAAGAATGCTGAGGAAGAATTTAAACATCAGTCCCTCCCAGCACTAACATTCTAGGATCCTGGGTTGGTACTAAGCAACTGATGTGACCCAAACTCAACATGTGGGCAGCCTAGTGGACAGGACCAGGAGGCAGGAGAGCTCTGTAGTGGCCAGCTATGAGACCTGGGCAAGCCATGGCCCTTCTGTGAGCCTCAACTTCCTCCTTACAGCACAGGAAAATGAGGGCCATCTCCGTGTACACTCTTTCACATGGTGGCTGGGGGACTCCAACTGAGATGATGAATGTGAAACAGAGTAATTAATTAATTCTATTAAAAGGTGAGAATGTAAACCAAGAAGCTTCTGTATACCAAAGGAAACTATCAGTAAAATGAAAAGGCAACCTATGACATAAGAGAAGATATTTGCAAATATTTGCAGAGATATTTGCACATATCTGATAAGGGGTTAATGTCCAAAATATATAAAGAACCACACAACTCAATAGAAAAATACTAAAGCATTCAGTTAAAATATGGGCAGAGGATCTGAATAGACGTTTTTCCAAAGAAGGCATACAAAGAACCAAGTACATGAGAAGATGTTTAACATCACTAATCACCAGGGAAACTCAAATCAAAACCATAATGAGCTATCACCTCACACCTGCTAGAATGACTATCATCGAAAAGACAAGAGATGACAAGTGATGATAAGAATGTAGAGAAAAGGGAGCTCTCTTGCACTGCTGGTGGGAATGTAAATTGGTGCAGCCACTATGGAAAAAACAGTATGGAGGTGCCTCAAAAACATTAAAATAGAACTTCCATGTGATCCAGCGATTCCACTTCTGCCTATTAATCTGGAGGAAATGGAATCATTATCTCAAACAGTATCTGCACCCCCACTTTCATTGTAGCATTGTTTACAACAGCCAAGATTTGCAAACAATCTAAGCATCCATCTGTGGATAATTGGATAAAGAAAATGTGGTATAAATACAATATTAAAAAGATATAAAATAGAAGAAAATTCTGCCATTTACAGTAATATAGATGGACCACGAGGGCATTATGCTAAGTGCAATAAGCCAGACACTGAAATGCAAATGCCATATGACCTCACTTTTATGTAGAATCTTACAAAAACTGAACTCATAAGTACAGAGAGCAGATTGGTGCTTGTCCAAGGCAGCAGGTGGCACGTAGGTGCAATGGGTGAAGTGGTCAGAGGATAGAAACTTCCAGTTGTAACATGAGTCCTGGGGGTATAATGTACATCATGGTGACTATAGTTAACAACCCTCTAATGTAGATTTGGAAGTTGTTAAGTGAGGAGATCTTAAAAGTTCTCATAATAAGGAAAAAAATTATAACTATGTGTGGTGGATGGATGTCAACTAAACTTACTGTAGCAATCATTTAATAATATATACATACATCAAATCATTAGATGTAATACATATACGTCAATTATATCTCAATTTAACAAAAGAAAAAAGATAAGAATGTTATTATTAACAACAGCTGGAACTCAGGTCTCCCTTTCTAATCCAGCCCTTCTCTCTGTTTTGATTTTCATGACTGTAGCTTGAGAGCAGGATGGCCTTACTGGAGCAGACCATGGGGACCACCTGACTTCCAGCTTTCCCTAGCCTTGGTGACCTCGGATGGCTGGCACCCATGTAATCAGACCAAAGCCTTGGTCTGTCATCGAAAAGAAGTCCTGGCACTGATGGGCAACCAGTGGCCTTGCTGGGCTATGCATAGCCTTTGGGTGTTTGTTGGGGGGAGGAGAAGCAGCTTTGATTCAGAAGACGTGGCTTGAGGACAGCTGGTTTCCCTGGATCAGACTGGCAGGAAAGAGGAGGGAGGTGGGATATAGGGGGTGAGGGCACCAAGCTGTCCTGGACTGACCTGGTCATCAGTACCTCCCACATTAGTCACTTGCCAGGAGGGAAGCTACAAGGAAGAACCATGTTATTCCCCATATTATTCTGAGAATGGCGGGAAGGAGGGCTGGACTGGGAGGCTGTTGGGAAGCCTGGGGTGGCACCCTAAGACATCTGCATGGCTGGATGGAGACAGAACAGGAATGTGACACATGCTGGGGCAGGGCTATTCCCTGAAGAGATCACAGCCCTCAGAGCCAAGCCTGCATCCCTCGGTGTGGGCTCCTGTCTCGTGTGATCTTCCCAGTCTTCCTCTCTGGTCTCATCCCCCTTGCTCTGCTTAGGGCTCTTTGCACCATCCATTCTGTAATCTTCACAGTCCCCCCAAATGTTCCAGGCTCTTTCTTCCCTTTCTGCCGAAATGCACATTGTGCCAGCTATAGATATGATTAAACTTAGTGTTGCCCTTGGAATGGCAGCATTCACATTTTACAGATGAGAAAACTGAGGCTCACAGCAAAGCAAATGGGCTAAGTTCTTACAGGTAAATAGACAACAGATTCAGTATTCAACCCAGATTAGTTTGACTCCAAATTCTGTGCTTTCCCTCTTCTGCTACACTCCCTCACCAGAAACACGATTTAGGGAAGAGCTAGGCAGCAACAGGGGAATAGAACAAAAGGTGCTATCTCTACAGAGACTGGCCAATGGCTGGAGCTTACAAATACTGGTTGAGTGAATGAATGAGCAGCTCAGAGAGGAAGGCTGTAGGTGGGGCCAGGACTCAGCACCTGGGCTTGTCCCCAGTGGGACAGATGCTTGACTTTGAGTAGGAAACAGGGCAGAACTGTGGATGAGGCCAAGTGACACCAGCTTGCCAAGGAGCTGGGAGAAAAAAACAGTCATGAACAAGCTGGACTCGGTGACTGATACCAGGTGGAGAGGAAAGAGGAGGCCAAGTTGTCCATGGCCCAGCCTTAGAATGGTGCCCCAGCCCCCAGCCCAGGCGGTAGCTCAGAGGGGTCTCCACAGCTATGCACAGATTGAAGGATGCCTTTGAGGCTTTGAGCTAGGTGTCTGGGAGAACAGCCATGTCTCCAGCGCACGGAACAATCTGAAGGGGAAGGGACCATCCCAACACCTGGGTGGGGGTTGGTCTGGTACGGGGTCACCGTGGTCAGTCACAGGCAGGTTCCTGGGCTCTGTGCTGTGCGGATGTCAGGTGACACAGAGATGGCATCGTTCGGTGATCCATGGAAACCACAGCATGTCAGGGAGCTGCAGATCAGTGAGGAGGCAGCGCTCAGGCGGAAGGGCACCGAGCCGTCAGGGAGATGGAAAAAGTGATGTCGTTAAGGAACAATGTGGCCAGAGGAATGAGCTGTAACTTGCTGGATCCAAAAGGACAAACGAGAAAACGGCTGCCAGCGGCCCAGGAGTGTCTGATGATGGCCTGACACGGTCCCGGGGGTGGGACTGAGCCCCAGCCCAAGGCCAGGAGGGAGTCACCCCATAGGCTTTGTGGACCTTTTCTGTTCCCCTAATACCTTGCCAAGCAAACCATTCAGTCTATTAATAAAGGCTTGATGAATTGAGTCAGGACAAACCTCCTGGCCAGAGAACTCTACCCTCTTTGAATGGAGTGGATCTAAGGAGACAGCTATGAGGAAGAGGAGAGAGCATAGGTTCTTTTGTTGTTGTTGTTAAGTAATTTTTATTTATTTTTGGCTGCGCTGGGTCTTTGTTGCTGCATGCAGGCTTTCTCTAGTTGCGGCCAGTGGGGCTACTCTCTAGTTGTGAGGGCTTCTTGTGCAGTGCTTCTCTTATTGAGGAGCAGGGGCTCTAGAGCACAGGTTCAGTAGTCGTGGTGCACCGGCTCAGTTGCCATAAATCATATGGGATCCTCCCAGACCAGGGATCGAACAAGTATCTCTGCAGTACCAGGCAGATTCTTAACCACTGGGCCACCAGGGAAGTCCAAGAGCATAAGTTCTGAGGCCAGCATGCCTGAGTGGGTTTCTACTTTTTCACTCTAATCAAGTTGAGAACCTAATTAGCCTTGGGTGGGGCTCCAGCTCACCTGCTACCCTGTGGGGCCCAGTCCTCCACAGAAGGGTGTTCTCTCCTGCAAGTCTGGGGCCAGGGAACGTCAGGGTCTGAAGGACTGGGATTCCAAGAGGTGACTGACCTCCAGGGACTTCACTGGGCCATACAAATGACCACACCAAGGCCTCTGTCCACCCACCAGTGATGAACCCAGAAATATGCTTTCTTGTTTGCCCCAAAACTCAGTTTGAAGAGCATATCCAGTGTATGTGTGGTCCCATTGTCATCTCTGTTTTTTTCAAGGAGGCAGGATAGCTCCATGATCCACCTAGATGGTAAGTGGGGGAAGTGGACTCCTGGGTGGCTCTCCACAACACAGTACTATCTGTACACCTTCCTTCTCTCTCTGCACACACCTGTAAAGTCTCCCCAGGGCCTGTGATTATCCTCAGCTGCCAGGTCAGTTCCCCTGAACTCCTTCAACGGTAAGTCCCACTTCTTATCTCCTGTGTCTGAGCCCTTTCACTCCCAGGCTGGACCAATCTCCACAAGATTGGGAGAGGACTGCAGAAAGGGAAGCCTGACACCCCTGTACAGTGAGGGAAGCATGGCACAGGGCTGGCCTGAGCCAAGGTCAGGCTCCAAGCTTCTTGTCCTCAGGTCTGGTGAGAGCTGCAGAGAAAGGCAACAGGCAGAGAAACACTGTTCTGTTTTCTTAAGCTCCCAGCTGGGTCTGAGAACACCAAATCCTCTTTGAGAAAACAGAAAGGGGATTAAAAAAAATCAAGATATTAACCTTTTGAAATTGGACACCCCCCTCCATATAGAGATTAATTTCTCTCCTAAGCGGTTTTTTCATTTCTATAAACATGTTGATTCATGCCGGCATCATGGCCAGCCTGGATTACGGATGGATGTAGAGACAGATGACCTCATCTCAGCCCTGTGCACACCCAGGTGTCTGTGTGCGCGCACACACACACACACACACACACCTGGAATAGCAGAGAGCCCTGGACAAGGAGTCACAGGTACTGGGCTTTATTTCCAGCTCTGCTACTGAACCTCAGATTCTCATCTGTTAAAGGGATGCTTGGACCAGCCAGATTTCTCAGACTCCTTACCAGCTCACTCTCTGTCTCTGCCTGGCAGTGTAGTTGCCCCCTCCACCCCCGAACCCCGCCCTCGGCTTCTCAAGGGCCCTGCATGTTTCTCCCAGGATTTCTCTGCTAGCCTTCAGGCCTGAACAAGCACAGGCAGGGCAGGGGAGGGGAAGCATGCATTTTGGTTCTGTGTGGGGCCAGAGCAGCTTTTATGGTTGCTTCAGCTCTGCTATAAATGCAAAGTCACCTGTAAAACACCCAGCACGTGATCTGAGCACATGGTTGGTGCTTCTCCAAGTCGGTTCTTTCCCTTCCGCTTCCTCTTTTTAGTTTACCTGGGTGCTCACACCCATCTGAGGCTTGGTTCCTTTCATCAGCCTCATCCGCTGGAGAAGCCACATTTTATTTTTTCTAATTTCAGGTTCCCCTCGGTATGTGTCACGTGGCTCCAGATGAACTAGTGAATGGTTCCCATTGCTTTTATGATGAAGACCTGGCTCCTTGGCATGGCCTGCAGGGGGCTCTTGTGGATCCGCACTCCCAACTTCTCCAGGCTTGCCTGGCAGTCGTGCCGCTCTGAGCTTTTGGAGCCTCTTTCATACCCCATCCTGTCACGCTCCTTCCTCCTTGACTCCATGTGAATTCTGTCTCCGCCCAGGTTGACCCGTGTGTCCACCTGGTGCACATACCTGCTCCTCTGATGGTCCTGTCTCCAGGAAGTCCTCCTTGACCCCGGGGAGGTTACATCCCTTCTGCTATGGTCCGCTGTTCCCCTTTCCTTCCAGTGACAAAACATCATCATAGTGAAAAGACCAGTTGTACCTAAAGCATCAGATGTCTACCTTCCTCACTGGACCATAAATGTCAGGAGGGTAGGGATGGGTCAATGTGTCCATTTGGTTCAACACTGTCTCCCCAGCACCTGCTCAGTGTCTGGGCTCCACAGTAAATGAATGAGTCTAACTGAGTCTAAAATCACCTCTTTAAACTCGGCTCAGAACCTTCCATGAGGTCCGGGCAGAACATTTCCTAAAATAGCTTCACTCTTCTCTTCTCTCAGTCTGACCTCCCCTAAAGGTTTTCTCTTTTCCCTACTGATGCCACAGATTCTCAAAACCTCAATTTCTTTTTAAATATACTTCCGACCTGCCTACACCAACAGCCTAACCAAGCAACAGTTTTCGTATCCACATTTCAGTTCCTTCCACCTTCCGGCAAGCCCAATCATTTCCAAACCTTGGTTATATTCTGATTCTTGAGGCTGCAGCCAGCTGTGGTTATTCTCAACTCTTGCTGTCACGGGGGAGGAGGGTAGACGTGGGCTAGCCCTGACTCAGCGAGAACCAGGAGAGAGGTGCTGAGTGTCCTCAAGGGCCTTGGGTAGGGGTGGGCCACTGAGGTGGTCTGGTTCTGGCTGGAGCAGAGGTTATGTGAATCCCTATTAGACAGTCCTTTTGGCCAGTGTTCCTCAAAGGATGCTCATAGAACAATGGTGTCTTGAGATGTTTTGCAAAAGAAAAATCCTGTGCTCCAACACATTTGGGAAATTCTGAGCATCATTCAGAGTTGGTTCTTGTTTGCAAGCTTCAGATGCCAACTCTGCTAATTTAAGCTTAAATAGGATTTATTCTAAGAATCTTGGGTAGCTCACAGAATCTCCTGTGAGGTCAGAAAACCAAGACTGGAGGCAGAGCAGCCAGGAACAATGCCCAAAGTCACATTGTAGCACTGGCCCCAGGAAGACCCTATGGTTGCTGATGCCGAACTTGTGCTTTATGCTTCAGCTTGTGCCACCGGCTCCACCAACACCGGAAGCTGCTTCTAGAACTGCCACCGCTGTAGCCTCTGGGAAAAGACTGTAACTGCTGCCACCACTGCTGCCATCACCCCCATCAGAGTGGCATCTGCACAGTCCCTGCTTCCTGGCATCATGGTCTAAGGATGGAGTGAGGTCACGTGCCTGCGCCATAGCTTGAGAGGCTGGGATGCTGTGAGTTCCACATTTCACTTTCTGCTTCTGTACTGGGAGGCAGCCTCTGCTTGAGCACACAGGGGAATCCTCGAACAGAGGAAGGGAGGGCAGATGCTGATTGGTCCAAAATGACCACTGTTCTCCACACTGTGGGCCCAGGCCACCTACCTCGGGAGTGTGCTGTGCTCTGCAGGGTCTGCCAGTCTTAGTACCGTTGACATGTGGACCAGGCACCTCCTTGTGGCAGGCTTTCCTGGGCATGGCAGGATGTTCAGCAGCATCCAAGCGTCTACCCATTAGATGCCAGTAGCATCCCTCCAGTGGTGACAGCTAAAAGCGTCTAAACACATTGTCACAGGTCCCCTGGGGGATGAATTTGCCCCCGGCTGAGAACAACCGCTCTAGGAGATGTGCAGGAAACTTGTAATATGTTTGAAGAAGCAGGATTGATTTAACCTGATTTCCCAAACTTATTTGACTATGGAAACTTTCTTTTCTCTAACTTCCTTTGATTCTGTCTCATAGAACTTCTTTGCGAAATGCTGAGTTGATAACTGGGGGCCTTGTTCTATGTGTTTCATGGAGGTTGGAGGATTGCTTGTGGCCACGCCTGGTCTCCCTGTCTGTCAACCTCCCTGAACAAGGCTGGGGCAGCTTGAGGTCCAGCTTCGTGAGGACCCACTCTCTGGGGAGTTAGTTGTGACTCTCGGACACATCCCAGGGTCCAGCGAGGGGCCTGCAGAATGCCGTTCACCATAGAGTCAGTCTTTTCCTCTTGGCTGTGAACCTGCCCTGCAGACACAACATTGCTCTGACCCCCAAGCACACTGCCCTAGGGACACATGTCCACCTGTGGCGGCCCCCTGGAGCCCCTGCACTGTTCAACAAGGTCTCTCTAGATTCAGGCTCAAACACAGCTGGTCTCCAACATGCTGGCCCAACCTCCCTGTACGTCCTCTGTATCCCATGTCCACTAGGTCAAGGCCCAAGGAATGCCCTGGACACACGGCCAAGTCTGCCCCAACCCAAGAAAGACCCCACCACCATGCTGCAGGATGGGTGTCACAGGCCCTCGCAGAGAGAGGCCACCACTCCCTGGCCTTACCTTTGGGGAAGAGAATTTGGAGCTGCTGCTGCCAGGCTGGAAAAGGAGTGAAGGAAAGCATGTGTCCTTGGCAACTCAGGTGTCCATTCTGGAGACTTCTGTGATCCGGCAGTTTCTGCATGTGGATGGCTCCGCTCCTGTGTGCAGCTTCACATTTGGAGCTCATTCATGTGGCTTAGAGTGTCTCTCACTGACCTTGGCTCTTAAGGTTGGAAACCTGGGGCTTTGGAAGTATAAGAGTGTCAGGGTTAGACAAATCTGTCTTCGATCTTGGTTACAGCTTAATGGTGGAATGATCTTGGCCAGGTCACCCTTCTTTCAGAGTTTTAATTTCATCATCCATGTAGATTTTTAAAAAGCACTTTATCTGCCCCTGCATTTGATCATTCTGGATTCTAGGCCCTAACAGGTGGCTCCTGGGTGAGTATCACTGAAACCTTCCTGAGGGTTTAGGGGCTCAGGTTCTAGACCCCAGGGTGCATCTTCTCGGGGCAGGGGAGACAACGGGAATGAAAAAACAAAGGCTTGAAAATGCCTTGGATCCCAACCAGCCAGAGGATGCGCGAATGGAAAATTCCTGCTGTGTGTCAGAGGCCCACCTGGCCCGGGTGACAGCCAGCGAGCCAGACACACAGGCCCCACAGCGGCGTGTTTAGACAGCAGTTTTCCTGCCCTGGTCGGAGTTCACCCTGCCCCCCACCAATGCTCATCCTGGGGAGTGGGGAGGGGCGGGGGTCCTCATCCAGGCCCAGGAAAGCTTCCCGTGTCTTCATATCTGAGCAGGGGCTGGGGAGCGGTCATGGGAGCTGTAGTAGACAGAACGAGCAGCGGGAGGGCTGGGCTTGGCTACAGTCTGCAGTAAGCCCGTCTCTGCGACCCAGTCTAAGCCTCAGAGCCCTTGTCTGCATGTGTGGGGCTGGACTGGGCAGTCTGCAAGGTCTCCATCAGCCCTGGCAGAGGTCTACCTTCTCTCAGAGATCCCACATCTGCCTTGGGAGAGGCCAAGTCCCCTTTCAAGGGCAGGACCCAGGGGCAGCTCTCGGAAGCTGCCTCCATCCTTAAGATCACCATCCAAGGAAGTTGGCCAAGCCATGGTCTGGGGCTATGGGACCTCTCACTTTGCCAGCACTCTGAGTGCCCACTGAGGCTTAAGGGTGATCCCTGGGAGACAGGCTTGGGTGAGTGTCATGGAATGGACCCACCCCACTAACAAACTGGGGGCAGGGGGTGGGGGTGGTAGACCCAGGAGAGGCTAAGAGGAGCCCTGAGCCATGGGGACAGTGTTGGTCCAACACCATTTGGGAGAGAGTCCCTGAATCTGGAGACACTCCAGGGACAAGGCCTCATGCTCTCTAGTGTGGCCTGGGAAGGTCTCTGGGCAGCACGATGGCCAGGATGGAGTGGCCCTCGACCTCACACACATCCCACACACCCAGCCTCACGTGTCTAGGGGTCCAGGCCACACTGAACATCTTGGCCAAGGCTGACCTGCAGGTCCTGACTCTTGGGAGTTTGATTGGCAAGTTGGGCCCATGGTTTGGATCAGTTCTAAGAGCCTGACAAGTCCTGGTCTGGCATAATGGTCAATTCAGTAGGGTCATGCCACTGGGAGGTCCCTTGATCAGTGCTACTTGGCCTACTGGACCCCCTCCCATCCCATCCCCTTGAATTACCCCTTCTTAACTCAGATTCCCACAGAGAGAATCCCACTCAGTGCCTTTTACCTCTCCCCTGGGTGCCAAGAAAATGTGACAAATTTCTACCCAAAGACACCACTGCTTCTGAACTTTGCCTATGCCCAACCTGTCTTGGCCCAGGCCATCCCTTAAGCACTTACTTAAAGGAAAGTGCTGGAATGACACTGCAGACAAGCCGGGGCAAGGACAACCCTGGCCCAGACGACAGCTCCCTCTGTCTGGTTGATTGTACTAGCTCACTGGAGAGGGTTTCCGGTCCTCGTCCTGGCCCACCTCTCCCTTCCTTCCCTCCATCCTTCTGTCTAAGGCCAGAGTTCTTTCTCTGAGCCCCCTGGTCACTCAGAAGGAGTAGTCTCTTTCTCAGATCCCAAGTCAGCCCCTCAGCCCTGGGTCACACCTGCCTTCCCTGAGGTCCCAGCTGCGGGTGCTGCCAGGGACACACTCCAGAGAAGTTGTCTGCACATGCTGCCCACCCCCCCAACTCCAGGTCAGTTTCAAAACCCCTTCCACTCAGGAAATCCCTTCTCCTGTGTTTTGTTTCCTCACAGTTTCCAGCTTGTGTTTTTTCCTTCTGATTCTTTATAGGGGCTCACAGGGATTTGGAAGAAAATCCTTGCTTGCTCCTTGGAAGAAAAGCTATGACCAACCTAGACAGCATATTAAAAAGCATAGACATTACTTTGCCAGCAAAGGTCCATCTAGTCAAAGCTATGGTTTTTCCAGTAGTCATGTATGGATGTGAGAGTTGGACTATAAAGAAAGCTGAGTGCTGAAGAATTGATGCTCTTAAACTGTGGTGTTGAAGACTCTTTAGTGTCTCTTGGACTGCAAGGAGATCCAACAAATCCATCCTAAAGGAAATCAGTCCTGAATATTCATTGGAGGGACTGATGCTGAAGCTGAAGTTCTAATACTTTGCCCACCTGATGCAAAGAACTGATTCATTGGAAAAGACCCTGATGCTGGGAAAGATTGAAGGCAGTAGGAGAAGGGGACGACAGAGGATGAGATGGTTGGATGGCATCACCGTGTCAATGGACATGAGTTTGAGTAAACTCTGGGAGTTGGTGATGGACAGGGAAGCCTGGCGTGCTGCACTCCATGGGGTCGCAAAGAGTTGGACATGACTGAGCGACTGAACTGACTGAGGGATTTGGATCGGGCTTCCCAGGTGGCTGAGTGGGTAAAGAATCTGCCTGCAATGCAGAAGATGCAGGAGACCTGGGTTTGATCTCTGTACTGGGAAAATCTCCTAGAGATCATGTCAACCCACTCCAGTATTCTTGCCTGGAGAATCCCATGGACAGAGGAGCCTGGTGAGCTACAGTGTATAGGGTCGCAGAGTCAGATATGACTGAAGTGACTTAGCTGGTATGCACACAGGGATTTGGGTCATCTGGAAATCTCTTTCTTGCCTCTTGGGAGACCAGAGTCAATATCACAGTGTGCATCTCTGAAGTCCAAGGATGCTCCACGATGGGGATAGTTGGGAGTGTGTGCACATGTATCTGTGTGTACATGTGTGTATATATATGTGTGTGTGTGTGTGTGTGTGTGTGTGTGTGTGTGTAAATGCACATGATTTGGGCACAGACTGGGTCTGCACAGAGAGACAACGTCTGCCTTTTACAAAGGTGATCACAGACCTTCTGCTCCCTCTTTCCAGGTCAGCCAGGCCAGGTGAGGGCAAGTTCTGAGAGCTCAGCTGACTTCCCTTCTGAGTCATGCCACAGAGCAGGGCATGGTATCCAGGAGTCTCAACCCTGCCTCAGGGCTCTTTCCATCCTGCGCTGCTTGGATATTAAGAGAGGGAGGTGTGAGCCCAAATATCCATAGTGAGGGTGGTTTGAAAGGCAGCTTAACCCAGGGGAGGGGTCAGTCCTCAGTGGGGTGTGGGATGGTGTTTGGAAATGATCACCAGAGGATTCACTCACTTTCCCAGAGCACTCCTTTGGTCCCACAGCTCAGGGTGCATCCTGATTTATGAGGCGTGGGATTCCAGCAGCTCCGAACAGGGTTCTGGTTTCTGCCTGGCTTGAGCTCCCAGGAGGGGCAGAAGGGAGGGGCTGGCGCTGGAATGTTAGGAGTTAGGAGGTTGAGGGAGCAGAGCCTGTTAGAAGTTAAGTGGGCACCCGCCTAGGGTGGAGGGTGATTCCACCTGCCTTTGGCTATAGACCCTCAGGCTACAAAAAGAGGATGAGAGCCCCAAAGTCTTCGGGAAGCAGTGTCCTCAAAGCAGGTAGGCCCCCTGGACCAGCAGCAACTCCCTATTGGCCCCCTCGTGGGGGGCTGGGGGGGCTGGTCACTTTTGTTTTGAGACTGAGTTATTTGTCACAAAGCATAACAGTGTTGACTTGAGCTACCAAGAAAACCTGTGCGCTGTGGGTTTGCTTTCATTTAACAGGTGAGGAAGTGAGGCCTTAGGTTAAAAGAAGCTGAGGGTTGCCAGGTCTCACAGATAGAAAGTGGTCGAGCCAGTTTCCAAACCGACATCTTCTAGGTCCAGTCTCTCCATGAGCACAGACGGCGCCCCCTAGCCCACAGAGTGCTGGTGTTGCGCGGGGGAAGGGACCTGAGTATTTAACGATTAGGTCTAGGTTCCAATCCCGCCCCCACTAGTACTGACTGTGTGAACGGGGCTGTGTTGCCAAAGCTCAGTTTTCTCATAAATAAAGCAGAAGTAATCAGAGATGCACTGGAGCTGGCTCACTCTCCCTCTCAAAAGCCAACTGTGTGTATTTTTCAATTTCTCATTCAGTCATATGAAGCTGGTTAGCTTGAAATGGGCCAAAAAATCAGTTGCTCAGTAGTGTCCAACTCCTTGCAATCCCATGGACTGTAGCCCACCATGCTCCTCTGTCCAGGGAATCCTCCAGGCAAGAATACTGGAGTGGGTAGCCATTCCCCTTCTCCAGGGTATCTTCCCGACACAGGGATCAAACCCATGTCTCCTGCATTACCGGCAGCTTCTTTACCATCTGAGCCATCAGGGAAGCCCAATTTACACCAAAGAAACGAGCAAACCTGCAAGTCAGGGCTTTGCTCCCCAGAGGGCTGGTGGTTAGCATGTCCCAGATTATCCCTGGGGACAATTCTTACCCTATAGGACTGAAGAGTGAATCAGATAAAGTCTGTCAAGTTCTTACCACCATGTTTGGATTGGAGCCAATACAAATGATCAGCAACAATAAGTGTCTTATCTTTTCTTCATCCTTATAATGTTTGATCCCTTTATTCACTCAGGAGAGTAATTTGGGCAAGAGGAATTTTCTTCCATTGTATCAATGAAGACACTGAGGCCTTTAGGTACTGAGCACAGAGATGGTAAGAGGTGAGCCTGGTTCTGAACCCAGATATCTATGCTCCTCATCCTGGGCCCTGGCCACTACCCTTGGCTGCCTTACTGTATTGGGCAACTTAGAGTCTTAGAAATACGGGGATTCTAGAGCCAGAAGGAAAGTTGGAGGCCATCTGTGGACAGTTCAGGTCCCTCATGTCACAGACAAGGAAACAGAGGCCTGGAGAGAGGAAGGACCTCCCCAGGGTCACTTTGCCAATTTTAGCCCAGATGGAATTGGGCTCCCAGATCTCTGGATTCCTCATCTACATCTCTCTCCACTGGACCCAACTACCTGCAGACCCCTGAGCTGGGGTGGAATTGTCCTAGCCAGACAGCATGGTTCATGCCCAGTATGAAGGGGATGGGATGGCTATTAGGGAGACGACCACATGTCCATTCTGGGGAGAGGTCATGTACAAATACTGTGATTTGTTCTGCCTCTAACATCAAGTTATGTGAAACCGTCCTGTGCATGCTGAAGGACTGTCGGTGACATTTTGTCAATCAGCAAACATTTAAGAACCAGAGATTCCCAGAGGCAGACCTTTGGCCTCTTGTGTGCAGCACAGTGCTAGCATTAATGGACCAGGGCTGGACCTGGCTCTGTAATCCCCATTGCCCTGGTCATATCCTCCCTTCCTCCTTCCATCTCTCCCTTCCTACCTCACTCTACCTTCCCTCCCCCCCTTACCTTCTTTTCATTTAACAAATATTCACAGATTGCCAGCCTTCTGCCAGGGCCCCACTTGTGCTAGGGAAGCAGAGATGAATGTGGCATGGTCTTACCCTACAGAACTTCACAGAAGAAAAAGCAGAAACAAAAATGAGAAAGAGCCACCTGATGGAAGCTGTCCAGGGGCCAAAGGGGCTCAAGGGCACTGCGTAGATCAGTTGTGTTTGTGGAGGAGGGGTGTGGGGGGTGAGAAAGGACATTTCTTTGCAAAAGAAGCAGCTTCAGTAGCACTGAGGAGGTGGGAAATAGCCTGGAATGTCCTGGAGACTGTAAACATGAGCTTGGGTCTACAGTGTAAGTTTTGGTCTGGAGTCGCACAGGCAGAGTTCGGCATCCGTGGCTATGCTATGAACTGTGTTACTTAGGCAAGTCTCCTCATTTGTAAAACAGGGTGATAATTTTTACCTCACAGGGTAATTGTGAGAATTCACTGAGATCATTTATTCAGCAAGGGATATTCTGGGTGCCTACTATGTACCAGGCACCCTTCCAGGCACGAGAAACCGCAGGGAATCAGATAGGTCAGGTCCTTGCCCTCGTGGAGCCTATATTCTAGTGGAAGTGGAGGGACTGTGAACAAGTAACATAGCATGGTGTCATGTTCTTATAAGTGATTGAAAATAATAAAGCAGGTGTTTGGGATGGCTCCCTAGGTGCAATCCACGAGAAGAGGATTTGTCAAAAGTGTGTTCTCAGAGTGCGTGGGGGCAGGGAAGGGAGGACACAGACCAAGTCCCACAAGGGTAGCCTCAGCCTGATCCCACGGGGGCTCAGCGTGTGAACTCTGCTGGGAGGGGTTGCAGCCTAGACAAGGGGACGATGCCGTGGGTTAGTATGTGCTTTGCTAGGGTAGTGTCTGGTGCACACGTTAGCCATGGAATGAATGCCCTTGAAACCGAGTCAGTCCCTGTCTCTAGACCCGCTCCACCGCCCCTTGCTGCAGTGTAATTCTGTGATCGACAACAACCTGCACTTTCCCCGAGCCTTCCTCGTCCTCTCATGCTGGGTGTCTCTGCCCCTGCTGTTCCTTCCTGAAACACAACCTCTCCACCGTTCTCCCTGGAAAATTCTTAGTCATTCCTCAAGTCTCAGCTCAAATGCTGCCTCTATGTCTGTGAAGACTCTCCCAGGACTTCTTGGGAGCTTCCTTCTGTGTAACCTCTGTAATAGTCATGACCACCAGTGAGGCAATTGTTGTTAAGTCGCTAAGTAGTGCCAGACTCTTTGCAACCCCATGAACTGCAGCACGCCAGGCCTCCCTGTCCTTCACTGTCTCCTGGAGTTTGCTCAAACTCATAGCCATTGAGTCAGTGATGCCACCCAACCATCTCATCCTCTGTCGCCCCCTTCTACTCTTACCCTCAATCTTTCCCAGCATCAGGGAAATTTGCCTGTTCACAAGCCTGTCTGTCTGCCCACTAGGCTGGGACCTCCCTGATAACTCGGACAGGTTTTTGTTTCAGCTCTGGGTCTCCAGAATGTTGAACACACAGTAGGGCCTCAGGAAACATTTGCTGGATAGGTAAATGGCTCTGTCACTTAGTAGCTTTGTGCCCTTTGGTGAGTCAAATAATCTCTCTAAGGCTGAGTTTGCCGATCAGT